TATATTTTTTCTTATGACATAAATGTCCATTTGACAACCTTTATTTTACCGTCTCTACCGATAAAAGCAACAATGGAGGTGATAGCTCCATCTATCATCGTTCTAAATAAACTTCTTCTTTACCGGCAGAGACGTGTAGAAAATAAATAAAGAAAGCTTATTTCTTTATATATATAGATATAGATATAGATTCTTAGTATTTGTTTGTGTTTTATTTATTTCTTGGTTTGGTAATTGAATTAAAGACATCATTGTTCCGAAAATCAATCTTTCTTATTCTCATGCTAAAGAATTTATTTATCCATAAACTTAATAGCTTGTTTAGTAAAGTGTACCTATACAATAATAATATGATTAATACGCCCGCTTCTCATGCACGAGGTTGCTACCAAGCGCAGGGTAGAAATTAAGTACCAATGTGACTTTATTCCGAGCGTAAAGCGCGTCGCGTTCCGCGCGCGCCTCAAAGAGCCATCAGACCACCACGGATGGGGCCCAATAGGGCTGATACGGAGTCGCGGAGAACCTAACGGGTTACCGGGGCTCCGGCTCGACGTGCAGGACTAGGAACGGGGTGGTTTTTAGTCAGTAAGAGTCTGACACTCCCTCCCACCTCACCCAGGCGGGAGAAGTCATTCGATGATGTTCCTCCCTTAAAAAAATGTGACTTTTTATAGTTATAGGTTCTTATAATTTCTAATTACAAGCATTGAGCAAGCGTGGTGATTAATGCTCAAACCTTCTCCGTGTGAGAAGAGGCCTTTGGTCAGCAGTGGACACTTATAGGCTGTTTATGATGATGATAACATGTACATACATATAATAACAATACATGGAATCCTTAAGCCAATTACAGAGTTTTTCAGCATGCGTAAGGAACAACAGGAGAGTGAACAACATAAAATTAAAATAATCAATGCAAGTATCGCGTTTACTTTTATTAAAAGATAAAAACGTCGTATGATTAAACCAGGATTCGAATTCATATCCGCCAGTATCAGTTGAGTTCCTTGAACCCAATTTACTTCACATACAAGAAGAAAGAAAAATAGCATGGAACAAAGAAATTACATTAAAATTACTGAGTACTTTCCACTTATTTATAATTGTACATTTTTAAATCGGAATGCGGAAATATACATGCGGTACACTTTTAAGTAATGTCCGTGCAAAGTTCAGTTTATTTGGTTCAAAAATATACCCAGAATTTATATATATGGGACTTCCCCTAATACGAGCCAATGTCGTCTACTTTTACTGCTAAAAAATATATAAAGTCTTTTTTCTTTTTCCTTGCTTAAGTTGCCACTGTAGATGGAAACTTATTTAATTCAGTTATTCAGATAAAACCAACTTGGAGATCATGTGATGTTCAATCTATGTAGATTAAGGAATAACGCTAAAAGTAAGATATAATGTATCCTTGTTTACTAAGTCAAAGTCAAAGTCAAAATCATTTATTTCAATTAGACTAAAAAGGCACATTTGAAAGTAAAAACAAAATATTTAAATATTAAAGAAAAAATTTCAGTCTGTTGGACGGTCCTCTGGTGAAGCTATTTGCTCGTTCCTAAGTTCAGATTCCAATGGAGAAAAACGAGGATTAAAATCTCGAATATCATCTTAAAGTTACATACTTCTACAACACGATAGGGTTGTTGACCCATCAAGTTTGATGACCAGGTCAAATGCGTAAAAGCCCTCCTTCCCCCCAGCTCCTAACAAATGACCTGTCTAAAATGTCAAGATATAATCGACAGTTAAAATTTTAAAACCACAATGGCTGTTGTACGTTGAGAGACGTAAATCATCGTTTTCCGATGTTTGTTTGTGTTTGTGCGATAGTCTGCTAAACGGATGAACCAAATATGATGAATTTATGAATAATCTCATAATTTGCTACTTACTTCTAAACTTACATTTGTTTTATCTAAGTATCGTTTTCTTATAGGTATGACAAAATAAAAAAGTACGTGACGAATGTTTTTTTAATAATCTAGTACATGGACATTAAAGTAAACATTTGTCATGATACATACAATAGGCTATATTGGATGGATTATAATGCTTTGTTTTATAATAACAGAAGCCAATAACAACAAACAATAAGGTATTTGTGTTGTAACTTTCGTGAGACATACTAAATAAATTATTATGTTTTCGGCTTACTCACGTAATTATTTGACGAGGAACTTGACTGGTTTCAACTCGAGCAGCATTTCAGCAAAACAATAAGGTAGATGTCTAATTTTTATTTTAATGTCCATCTGGTAGATTATTTTAAATCATTAGACACGTATATTTTATTTTCTAACGAAAACGAATACTTTCGATACGATACGATATATTGATTTGAAATGTCGCGTGACGTCACTTCTATGTACATTTTTTTACGTAGAAATGACGTTTTAGCCCCCACTCCTAAACTTTAATTCGTTTTATCTAAGTATTGTTTTATTATATGACAATATAAAAAATACATGTTTAATATTTTTTCATTACCTAACTTACGGACTAATTCTAGGTGCGATTCAATATGTCTATGTATCCTTTCGGTTAGACATCATTAGCTATGCGTGTCTGACTATAGTTATAGTTTTTGTCGAACTAATTTGTACCACTTAATGAAAATATATATATATGTTATATCAGATAGGTACAACAATATATTATGCTAATTATTTAAATTGACTTTTTATTTAAGTATCGGAAGCAAAAAGGTGTCAGTTTGAAGTCATATTAGCACTCAAGATCTTACTAGAACATTCTAAGTAGTACTTTTTAATATTAATTGGGAACTGGCTCAACATGTAATTATTGTTAGCTTGAAACTGCCTTTGTTATGTAAATGTAAAAGATATATTTTCATACATATTACGTCATGCTGTCATCCCATGGGGGTAAGCAGTACTTAATTAACTATTTTATCATACAATCAACCAGTAAATAATTCCTTTAGTTAAATTATGAAAAAAATTATTCTTATCTACTAAAATAATCAAATAAATCTTAAAATTCATGTTAATTTTATTTTTTATATACTTCTACAGGTTTGTCTATTCTAAAGTTATTTTAAACTCAAAAGAACAAATAGATTTTTGTCTGCGTTTAAAATTTTTTTTTCATCTGCTATATAATATGAATTTTTTTAAGGGGGGAAAATCATCGAATGACTGCTCCCGTCTGGGTGAGGCGGGAGGAAGTGTCAGACTCTTACTGACTAAAAACCACCCCGTTCCTTCTCCTACACGTCGAGCCAGAGCCCAGGTTACCCGTTAGGTTCTCCGCGACATATAATATGCATATGACATCAATCAACAGCACGGTTGTCAAGTGAATTAAAAATGTAAAAAAAAATAATTAAAAGTGTGACTATCGCAATCAAAAATTCAACAATTCTTGCATTTATTAACATTAGATAAAATTAAAAAAAATATGCAAGTGCAACACTCTGACCAAATCAAACATAGCTCCATCACTTTCACACAGTTGATGAAGGAATGATGTGGAAAAGAGACAAAACATCAAAATAATTTTGAACAGGTGATTGACCCACCATGTTACGAAACAAGTTGATTGCCGTGACCTCTAGCGAAATTAATCATCAATCGCTAAAATGCATTACGGACGAAATTTATTAATAACTTTAACGAAAATATGAATGCATTCAATTTAAATCTGGGAAAAAGATGGTAACAAAAATAATCTATTGTTTTATGGGTAAGCCGATAATCGACGGATCACCTGATGGTAAGCAATCGGTATCGTGCATGGACACCTGAAATACCGGAGAGCCGGAAGCGGCACAGGTGCGTAACCGGCTTTTGGTGATTAGGAATTTGAGGATTGTTAAGGGTTCAGGGATTGGGATATTGGGTATTGATCATTAGGCCTCCGGTCGACACTCACACGACGAAACACGACGTAATCGTTTCCTTCGTTCGTTGATGAGGTGAACTGGTGAATAGAATTCAAGGGGTAAATTGATACAGAGGAGGGGTGAATAAAATTAAATGTTGAGCAAAATATTTTTGACATCTATTCACGTCATTTATGTATCTATTCACCCTTTGAATTTTATTCACCTCGTTTTTCGGTGGTACATAAACGAGTATGGTATGGTGCAATACATTTGCGAATAAGTATAATATTATTATGTATGTCAAATGCATTAGAAGGAAAATTTGATAAAATAATTTAGAAAAATCAAAGGTGAAGGCGATGAGCGGTATTTAGGTATCCTTTTATGAAATGAGGAAAAACTAAATTGTAACACAGTTTATGATATCAAATAATTTCGAAATAGTCTTAATGGTAGACGTAATATTATAATTATCTTAGTTATTGTTACTAAACAAGATTTCGTCGAGCAATTTGCACGTGGTGACGGTAAAGTCATCACAAGTCAAGGTAAAACATGTCTGCATTTTGTTTTGCTTTTGTTTTTTCTTAAAGTTGCACTACTCTAGGATTTCCTCACGTGTCGCGGGTGCGTTTACAAGCATATAAGTTCACCCAGACCCGAAAGCACAATTTATATATTTCTAAGCCGAAAACATAATAATTAATTCAATATTTTTTATGGGATAAGCCAGTAAACGAGTAGAAGGATCACCTGACGGTAAGCAATCGGCGTCGCCCATGAACACCTGGAACACCAGAGGCGTTACAAGTGCGTTACTGGTCTTTTGAGGATTATAAATTTGAGGATTGTTGGGGATTCAGGGATTGGGACAAGGAGGGAGAGGTAATTGGGCCTTCGGTAACTTCATTCACCAATTCGCGACGAAACACAACGCAAGCGTTGTTTCACGTCGGTCTTCTGTGAGGCCGTGGTGTCACTACGAACAAGCCGGCCCATTTGTGCCGAAGTATGGCTCTCCCACACTTTTAATTAATGTAGTATGTCTTATGAAAGTTATAATACAAACGAGGATAATAAGTAAGTGCAGTTATTTTATTAAGATTTATACAATTTGCCTATTATTCTTGTTTTCCAGAGGTATGATCGCCTGCCTAGGCATGATGGTTGCCCGGCTGAGCGCGTTTGCAGGCACAAACATACTGAGTGGCGCCATGACCGACCACTGCTCAGTGGCGTTGTACTCCGGAGCTGGTATCGTACTCAGTAAGTATTTCTACTCAGTACATTCTATTGTTTTAGGATAAGTAACGTTTATATTACCAGTTGGCTACAAATAAGTATTTTGTAATTCAAGTTTTGAAGGCAAAATTTGGTATTTTGCGTTGGTCGGGTGGTCACATTTGCGACAGCTGTACAAAACACCAAGGGTCTTAAATTAAAGCTAATAAAATATCGTATTAAATTTTCATTCTGTTTTAACCTCTCTGGTTTGCTGACACACAGATCTAAGCAACACACAATTCATGTCAAATAGTTTCAGTTGGTTAATAAAGGCTAAAGTAACTACTACAATTGAATTTTATTTTGATATTAAAATAACACGTAACATCACGCCTTTTATGGCGTAGGCACTTAATGCCACTATACAATTTAACACCCACTTTTCACTATTTATGTTATGATCCCCATATAATAGGGGGTGAGTCTATTGCCATATACCGTCACAATTTCAGACTACGTACTACTACTGAGAATGTTTTAAAAAACCCAGTAGTACTTTGCCCGACCTGGGAATCGAACCCGAGACACCTAGCCCGGCAGTCGCACTTGCATTAAAATAATTTGTTAATGGTTTCAGGTGGTGCTGTAGCTGCTTTGTTCTTGCCATCAGACAGGTCGATACGTTCGTGATTATCCTTTTACCTTTATATACATTTTACTTTTGACCTTTACTTTTATATAAATATTATAAATAAGCGCTTAGTTAATAAATATGATTACTATTACAAATTCTAAATGTTTTTTTATTTATCTCTTTTCATTTCACTCCTTATTTCAGCAGCATCTAGTAGATGAACTTTCAGTAACTTAACTGCGAGCTCCGAGCCGAGAGAAGATCCCCAATAGAATAGGATGCTTATGGGCAGACGTGCTCCATCGTAGGCCGCATGAGCAGTTACCACCAGGCGAGATAGTGGCCCAACGTCGGCCCATCAAATATGTATAAATGATTATAGTATATTTTACTTTCAAACCTTCAAGAAAAGAGCGTATTCCTTTAAAGCCGGTAACGCACCTGTGACTCCTCTGATGTTGGGTGCCCATGGCTGATCGCTTACCATCAGGCGATCCGTCTGCTTGTTTGCCTCCTATTCCATAATAAAGGTAATAAAGTAAGTAAGGTATTTGCTCATCAGTGGACATTTTCCAGCAAATGATAACAAATCCATTTCATATTGAAAAATTTATCATTGAAAATTCTTACGAGTAGTATTTTACTTCATCAGGTTATATACGTAATCTGACATTTAGGATTTAAACAAATGACGTATTGATAAAGTTCAATGTCCCTTCCTACGCAGTTTTGTATGGTCAGCACAAAAAATGAATCTCCATAAATATGATCGTTAATGACACTTTACGACTTTACGAACTCGCTCTTGACCCCGATTTCCCGAATGTGATTAACTTATGATGATTAAACTTTTTTCGAAAATTCCGCTGTGAAGTCTACATTCTTACTTATGACGACTTTATACATATTTATGACTTTTTAAAACTATAATCTAGAATGAAAACATGTCTGGGGCTTTAGTTATTGTTCCGAGGACTGCGGCATAAAGGGGGTGTCACACTGGCACTGTTTCGTATCTACTAAAATAATGATTTTGTCATACTAAACCAGTTGTACAATGCACACACACAAACCGAGCAAGATTCATTGGCGCAGTGGCTGGGCAACCGGCTGCCGCGCAACGTACGGATTCAATTCCCGCACGAAGCAACTCTTTGAGTGATCTACAAATGGTATTATCGGGTCTGGGTGTCATGTGTGTGAACTGGTATGTTTGTAAACACACCCACGACGCAGGAGAAAATCCTAGTGAGGGATAACGGTAAAAAAATGCTATAAAATAATGAATACAAAACTTTGCAGATGCTACTCCGAACTATAAAACTGAACCTTTCTTTTGTGCTAAAGCTAATCAAAATTCAGACAGAAATAACGGCAGGAATTCTCCTATAGGGAAACCCCCGGTTACATTCGAATTTCGACCCAAACCGGTTGTCAAATCCTGGAAATGACAGTCTAAAATCGGTTGTGGTGAGTAAGTTAATGATTCAAGGAAGCAAATTTTTTATTACTTTTAAATTAATGTAGATTAAACAATCTGACTGCATAGTGGGCGCTGTTGCTACGAAGGGTAGGTATCGCGGTTTCGATTACTGCACATTACAACTCTTTTCTCGATAAACTAACAATCCGAAGAAAAGTTTATATAAAAGAAACATATTATAACATTATAATATTAAAACATATTATATTTATATAAAACAAAGTGTTAGTGACATTAATAGCGTGAGATAATTTACTGAAAATATGTGGAGCTTAGAACCAGGGGACGGACATATGATTTGTTAACCAAAATTTTCCAAAAATCCTAGAGACACAGGAAAAACGGGATGGCGCGTACGAAATTGCTGGCAGAAACTAGTTATTTATATATGTGAACATATCCACAATACCGGAGACGATTTTAGATGCAATATTTATTTATCACAAAAAATTATAATAAAACGTAGTGAAATAGAAATAATATGTATTTAACAGAGACGATGGTGCTTCTAGCTGGGATGTGCCACAATGTTCTCTTGGTCAAGTATACACCTGTTCCTAAGTTGCACTCCCGCGAGGATGAAATGATAATTATATATTTTGATATCGAATACTATACAAGACATAAATCACGTCGATTATTCCCAAGGGCACACTTCTCTTTCCTTTGTTTTTGTTGTGTATTTCCACAATATTGCTGATAAAGTAGGAGTTAAAATTAAATGTATCAATCGTTGATTTATGACCTGAAGTAGTAGTGCAATACTAACCACAAAATTTTCATAAAAAAATAACATATCTCAGGTCTGATCACAGTTATAAAGGTATAAGCAATAAGAGAGCACTGTACATAATGTTGGCGGGTCTCTGTCAATTGTTATTGTTAGATTATAAAACTGATATTTTTATTGAAATATATCTCTTCTGCAGCTAGTCCGCTGTAAAAACAAGATCTTCTAGGAGTCTACAAATAATAGAGAATATAATACATATTTATCCGATACTCTTGGCTCCAGGGCCAACAATGTATGTACGCAGAGCAATGTCCTTTGTAGTCACCGCGGGAGGAGTAGGTGCCCACACGATGTATAGTTTATATACGAACCCTTGACGTTTGAGGTTAATAAAAAAATAACAATTTAAATCTTTTTAAAACACATACTTTAACAGCTTACCATTTATGATCATGTAAACTTAATTCGTATACAAAATTTCAGCTCAATCGTTTGAAGATATCTGCTTCATTTAGTTGCAAGATTCCACCAGGCGAGATGGTGGTCAAACGTTCAACCTATCAAGTATAATAAAAGAACTTTACACACATGCTTTTTTTAAGGGGGGGAAATTATCTTACGACTTCTCCCGCCTGGGTGAGGCGGGAGGGATTGTCAGACTCTTACTGACTAAAAACTACCCCGTTCCTACTCCTGCACTTCGAGCCGGAGCCCCGGCAACCCGTTAAGTCCTCCGCAGTTCACATAAATACTTAGATACATTGTAGGTTTAATAAAAACTTAAAATAATTACTTGACCTTGCTATCATAAAACTGAGTGTAATACTTTATACTAGCTATAAAACGATTGTAAGGAGATCATCTATTGGTTTTCCGCATAATTATAGTTAAAATAGGTATTATAACTAAGTGCTATATAAATCATAAACTACTATGTATGTAAACAGGGTGCAATAAAGGATGTCTCCCTTGAACTGAGACCTGATGCTGTACAAAGTCAAAGTCAATTAAATTCATATATTATGTAGTTGGACTAGAAAGCACAGATCTTCATCAATTTCATCTAAATTATTTCCACTTCGTAGCAGTGCGACAGTCGCCGCATTGCGGATCATGGAATACTGCTCATGAATATGAGCTTCTGGCATGGCTTGAAACTAGTCGAGTTCCTCGTCAAATAATTACGTGAGTACGCCGAAAACATAATAATTAATTTCCAGTTAATTAGTTTTATCCCATCATCATTACGTTTATCATACTAATATCTATGAACTCGTAACACAATGTATTTATGTAAATCTACCAAAACTCATATGCAGACCACTCGACCTTTATGATAGCGAGGAGATTCTCTATATGCTTACATGGGTTTAAACTTAACTTAACTAAGATTAGCTTATTAGTATATTTCTCACGAACGATGGCATTGACAACACTTTATTAATTTTATTTCCTTACGACTGCACGGTTAGTGCGGTGGCTGGGGAACCAGCTGCCGCACAACGTGGAGCGGATTCGATTCCCGCACGGAGCAACTCTTTGTGTGATTGTTTCGGGTCAAATTGTTGTTCCGGGTCTGGGTGTGATGTTTATGTGAACTTGTATGTTTGTAAACGCACCCACGACACAGGAGATAATCCTAGTGCAACGTTTAAAAAGAATATCCTATTCTTGTTAACTATATGTTTATGGCTACTAAGAATGTAGTAATGTACTTTTTAATGTAGGTGTTTCCAAACTAATATGGGTTTAATCCCATGTGATATGAGACCAAAACAATAACGACAGGTATTTCCAAACACTCAGTAAAATTCCGTCCTACTTACTAAGAACTTCGGAACGGAGAAGCCAATTAATCTGTCTGCAACCACAATTGCGGCAAATATAAAAATAACAGTTTGTTGGTCGACCATTTCGTATTATAATAAATAATTTTCATCAATCTAAATATTTATACTTTAAGTATATCATTTAATGGCTACTCAACCCGGTCCTTAGTCGCGGAGAATCTAATGGGTTACCGGGGCTCCGGCTCGAAGTGTAGGAGTAGGAACGGGGTGGCTTTTAGTCAGTAAGAGTCTGACACACATTAGATGCCTTAAACTGTCAAACACCAAGCGGTCACCGGTGACCGCAACCTATTGTTCTATAATTGTGTCTATAATGACAGTACTCGACGAGTTAAAAAAACCCGGTCCTTAGCAAAGTTTTCAAAACAAAATCGTTACTAAGGAATAGTTTAAGTTATCATTTAATTAATGTCTCTGGGTATCGCAATTAAAGGATTAAGTTACTTAAGTGATTAAGATTAAATTAGTGAACTGGTTAATTAACAGATTATAAAAAATTCAAACGACTATCACTCATTTCAACTCACACAGTACCTGACAAGCTTACATTCACTCACTTAAACACATACTCTCTCACTAAACATGATTCACATACTACACACATACATTGTGCGATCTGGTATTTTCACATTAACTGTTTTTCATTTATAATAAAATAATTATACCTACCCATTCATTGCGTCGGCGATTAGAATTGTATGTTTAACTTGATTTATTTTCTTCTTGTTTATTATTTATCTTGCATGTTTACATTATCTACATTGTAACTTCAATTAGTTACAATAACATGTGGAAGTGCGGAGTTTCCTAGCACAAGCATACCATTCCTTTTTTAAGGGGGGAAAATCGTCTAACGACTTCTCCCGCCCGGGTGAAGCGAGAGGCAGTGTCAGACTCTTACTGACTAAAAACCACCCCGATCCACTCCAGTGCACCAGAGTGTCTGCCGAAGCCCTTGCAACCCGTTAAGTCTTCCGCGGGTCCGTTTCGGCATTAGCCCCATTGGGCCCCATCTGTGGTGGTCTGATGGCTCATTGAGGCTCCGTACGGGATATTATAGAGTCTGGAATTATGACTGATGGATGGCTCGTACTACGAACTATTGAAAAATTGATGTTAAACTATATAAGGACCTATGTAGACAGCAGTCGTCATAACTTTATATGTTTTACATTTTATTGTAGCGGATTTAGGTATCACTTAAAGTCTAAAGTCTACATTAGATACTCTAAGATACTAAATTCGAAACGAAACAAAAGCAACTAGTTTTCAAACAAATAACAATAGTAGTAGTTCAAAAATTAAAACAGGTAATATCTAGTATTTTTATTTTTTTGTTATGCTAATGGAACTAGATTTTATAAACATTTGCAGTTTTTGTCGAGTCCAGGCGACATTTATATAAAATCTACATGTCAACTTACTAGAATCGATCCGAGTGACTAACGTGTTTTCCAAATATTTTTGTTTTAAAAAAACCAAAAAGTTTCTATGTTTCATCGAGGTCAGAAGGGCGGTTACTATTGGCACATGTTATAGAGACCAGACAACAGCCCTCTCTTGAACCTTTTAAATTGTATTTTCCAATCTCACCTGGACCTGGAAATTGTGGTAGACCCCTCTTATGTAGAATAAATAATAATATTTAAGTGTGGGAGAGCCATGCTTCGGTTCGACTCGACCGGAGTGACGCCACGGCTTCATAGGAAACCGAAGTGAAACAACGCTTGCGTTATATTTCGCCGTATGAGTGAGGTTACCGGAGGACCAGTTACGCCCTATCTCTTCATTTCCTAATCCCCAACAACCCTCAAATTCCTAATTCCCAAAAGGCCGGTGACACACTTGTGACGCCTCTGGCATTTCATGTCGCCACGGACGGCGCAGATTGCTTACAATTAGGTGAGCCATCTGCTCGTTTACCGGTTATACCATAAAAAATAAATAAACAAAAGTCCATAGTACAACAGTGGACTGTCTCATGCTATTGATGTTGTTGGAACTAGAATTCCAATCACGGGGTTTCACCAGGTTGCTTGAATATTGTTATTTATGAGTGTGGTGAGTTTGTTTATGTTGAAGAAGAGGCTAAGGGGAGAATTGCTTAAGAGAGCATAGGCAATGCATTCTTTAATTTCTATCTTTTGTAATGTGTATTTTTTGTTTTTTGTTTTTGTTTTTTTTTATTTCAGTTTTCTTTTAATGTTATATAAAATACTTAATTAGCTAGTAAGAATAAGAAATGAGCGCTTCTCGCCGTTAAACGTTATGTTTGGCGAGGATCTATAATTACGTAAGAACAACATGTTAATCCTAAAATTGTACTTTTGTTAAATAAAATAAAATAAATAAATAAATAACCTGCTTAAAAAAAGAGATTCTCAGTCTGAGTATAACATTATATAATATAACGCCTTTTATCCCCAATGTGGTGGGCAGAAGTGCATATTATACCACTGTACAATGTAACACCCACTTTTCACTATTTATGTTTTGTAATAGGGGGTGAGCCTATTGCCATATACCGGGCACATTCCAGTCTCCGCGCTATTACTGAGAATTATTTTAAAACCTAGTAATACTTTGCCCGACCGTGGAATCGAATCCGAGACCCCTTGCCCGGCAATCGTATTGGCGACCATTCGGCCAACGAGTCAGTTTGACCTGCATGTATGTATGTATTATGCTTGTACGTGATTGGCTGAACCGATTTTGATGCGGTAAGTTACACTTCGATTGATTTGATGTCAGAAATAAAAAATGCGAAATTACAACAGAATGCGATTTTTTAACGAAATGTATAAAAGTAATATTTTACTTTGACATTAACTATTTATAAATTATAAGTGATTAAAAGCGTGTTCACAATTTTTTTTCCTACAGGACCAAGACATACTCCAGGCAAAAATCTTTAAAATTCTACAAAGATGAAACCGCACGCGTTGAAAGATAATTTTAATGAAAAGGATTTAAAATAAGACATTTTGAATTGTAAATATAAAGACAATAAATCAATTACTCTTTATACATAAACACAAATAATACATTAAAATGTCAAGTAAATATAATTTAATATATAAACAGTGATAGTTAATGACTCACTGGGTTTTACTTCATCATCAGTTACAGGGTAAGCAGTGGTCTCGAGTCGTCAGATCTAAACAAGTTTTTTTTTAAAGATATATCGCCTATTATATACGAATGTAACGAGTTGATTCGGATCAGTTCTTTAGCGGTCGTATACATGGTCGACGCTGCGCGATGAAGTGGTTTATTTCTCAATAACTGTGATCTGTTCTGTGCGTGCCAATTGATTTATATTTTATATGGATCGTGAGGTAGGTCCTCGCTATGCTAGCTGATTTGTTTTTTAAATGTTTTTGTGGTGATTTCTGCTTGTTGGTGTGTTTTGTTGTTTGTTTATGTATTGATAGTGCGGGTTAAAATTATTTTTTTATATATATATATATATATGCTTTTGCGGTTGGCATTAATTTTTTGCATAGTTTTATAGTAATTGTCGTAAACAGTAGCTTCCGAACGGGTGCGTATACAATATCGATATGTACATACATGCCTAGTCATTATTTTTTAATGCAATATAATTAATGAAAACTCATTTTTGTCTGTCATGAAAATTATATAAACCTGACATCACAAAAATTTTGACTTTTGCGAAAGTTACACATACCTATTAATAAAATTATTACTAGATATTTACATTTTTTTTAATCAATTGAATCCCTATTTACTTACAATTTATTAATGTTAAAAAAAACAAAAGTGCTCACTAAAATCTTTATGGTTATAAATTATTGTTATTACATACAGTAATATATATGGGCTTTATCTAGGACCATTACTATGGTAGAAACGACGTGCTTATACAATGGGAGGTCTAATTTATTATTAACATAACATAACATAACATCAGGCCTTGTACCACCGACGGGGTAGACAGAGGTGCACATTACGGCACTTAATGGCCACTGTACAATGTAACACCCACTTTTCACTATGTATGTTATGAGTCCCATAGGGGGTGAGCCTATTGCCATATACCGGGCACATTTCCAGACTCCGTGCTACTACTGAGATTTTTGAAAACCTATTAATATTTTGCCCGACCCGGGAATCTAACCCGAGACCCCTTGCCCGGTAGTCGCACTTGCGACCACTCGACCAACGAGGCAGTCATTTTAACCTAGATATATAAATGTCTATTACCAAATTAATAATAAATATAAACGTAATTGTTATTATTTTGATATAATGACTTTAATAATAAACTTAAGCTAAAAAATTATATCTGTAGCAATGGTAATTTTATAGATTGTCCCAATTTTCTCTCTTAAAAGTAAGCTTCTTAATTATAAAACATGTTTCCAAATCAGTGTAGTAGTTTCGCAGGTAATTTAACGCAGACAAACAATCAAATCTTTCCTCTTTAAAATATTAGTTAACAATATAAAAATGTCGAAATATAAGTTACTGTATGAGTGATATTAATTTAATTCGACACATAGGTACACAAGTGGCCTGCGCTCGACAGGTATTGTAAATGTAATACGCAAATATTGTTAAAATGTTAGACAGTGCCCACATCCGTTTATATCGCCTTCTTACAATATTATAATAGTTAGCAGTTTTGAACTATAAACTAAATATTTAACTCACGAGATGTTAACACATACTAATGTAATAATATGTACAGGTGGTGTGCTAAATATATTTCAATTGTTAGTCTTAGGGTGCGCACAAACTGTAGTATTGGTATGAAACCTAGTTAAGATTTTTTTTTTGGAAGAACTGTATCCCGACCGCTTCAGCCGTTTTCACGTGAAACACACAAACACACACACACGTATGTACATCTTCACAAACTTTCGCATATATAATATTAGTAGGAAGTAAAATGACTGCCTCGCTACCCGAGTGGTTACAAGTGAGTCTGGAATTGTGCCCGGTATATGGCAATAGGCTCCCCCCTATTACATGGGACTCATAACTAATAGCATTAAGTGCCGTAATGTAGACCTCTGCCAACCCCTTCGGGGATAAAATGCGTGATGTTTAGTATAGTGGGTGCGTCTACAAACATTGTATATACCTACACACCACAGACATCCGGAACAATATGTGCATCACACAAAAAACTGTTCCGTACGGAAACCGAACCCGCAGCCGATCGCCCAACCAACCGTGTAGTCAGTGTACCGTGGTAATGTTACATAATCATTCCAGAATAATTATAATTAATTATAATATTAGCAGTCGCTAACTATAGTCATTAAGAATCCTCGGTTAATGCACGATAGTTCAATAGCGCAAACAACCATTTTATCGTATGATACTAGGTTCGACGACACTACTAACAAGTATTATCTAATAGTACTTAGGTACGGCTAATTAATACTGTTTGTTTTGTTCATTTAGATAAAAATACATCACCCCATACTATCATGAATCCTCTCGAGAATAATTCTGCATTATCTACATTTAGAAACAATATTCATTTAATCTTCATATTAAGTATATTTTATAAATAAATGCGAAAATTCACAACGATTTAAATTCACATAATCACCAGAATGGCATCACCACTAATATTATGAATGTGTAAAATTTGTTGGGATGTTTCGATGTTTGTCCGTCAATCACCCTGAAACTACTGAACGGATTTTGATGAAATTTGGTAAACAGGCAGGGTACAGGCTGACTTAAGTGATAAGATACTTTTTGTTCCGATTAAATGCTCCCATGAGCTATACAGGAATCATATTCTACGCGGACGATGTCGCAAGCAGCGTCTGGTATGCTTAATAGCTTATATTTTAAATTAATAAGCATCCGATTAGGTATATTTATTTTCTTACTATGTTATTCGCAGATAGGTAAATTAATACATTTATCAGACAGACTTAATTATGGCATAAAGACAAATAAAAACTACAATATATGTTAGGTACAGTTCAATGTTCGTACACAACGACTCATCCAGTATACACGAACCTTTATGTGTTCTAAAGTGCGTGTTCGATCGCGTTGAAATGCTTTTATGAAATTATTTCAGCTAAAAAGAAAACGACACGTTTCAAGCAGAAAAACTAAATAAACACATAATTACACGGTTGTACTGGTTGAGTGGTTGCGAGGTTGACTGCTGAGCACGCGACGTCTCAGGCGAGATAAACATAAATATGAAAATTGCATATTTCTCTGTCTGTCTGTCTGTTTGTTTGTTCTTACTCCTTCAAGTTTAAACGACTGGAGGGATCGAGATGAAATTTGGACCAGGGTAGATTATAGACTAACCTGGGGTCGCAGGTGAAACAGCTAGCGGAAGCTTGTCATACCTAAACATATCTTAATTTTCAGAGATTGGTATGTTAAGTACAAACTCGCCCTCAATATTGCCTTTTAAGAAAACCAGCACAAAATTTAAACATCCTTACACCATTGTAATAAAGACTATATTAACACTTAGAGATTTTACCGTAGCTTTGATAACAACAGTACAATAAACAAAAAATACCGGCCAAGTGCGAATCAGATTTACGTATGAAGGTTTTCTTCGTATCTTTATGAAGAATAAAATATATAATTTCTTGTAACAGGAACCTTTTTAAAAACTATTTAACTATACTCCGTCTGTTTAGGTAGTTAACTATTTGTAAACAAACCATAAAAAGAGTTCTTTATAGTTGACATTTCCATGACTCAAAATACTTCATAAGAAAATAAAATTGTTTCCATTTTTACGACAGTTTTCTCTATTAAATGTTATGTTTCTGTTCCTTTTCACTTATTTCTTAGTAAATATTATATATATCTGCTTGAGCATAATAATTTAATAACATTTTTTATTAAATAATATAATATTTCATTACAATAGACACCATAAAGAGCCTAAAATCCCAGGTATATTACTTCATAGCGCATAAAAAGTTTTTTCTCAGATTTTAAACCTTCCCTCGACTTAGTGGAGACTAACATTAATATACCAAAATTTGCCAAATCGGTTCAGCTGTTCTTGAGTTTTAGCGAGACTAACGAACATAAATTCATTTTTATTTATATATATTACATGTCTTAGTACTTTTTGGGTAATTATCGTTTTTGCAGAAACAGATTAGTATCATATGAACAAAAAGTTTAGTTAACACGATTCATGAAATACAGCCTAACGACATAAAAACCATGATTGCCTGATGGCAGCAATCGACATCACGAATGGACACCCGGAACACCACAGTTGTTACTAATGCATAGTTGGCCTTTTAGGGATAGAAATTTGTGGATTGTCGGGGATTCGGGGGATTTCGGGAGATTGGGGAGGGGGCTAATTGGACCTCCAGTAACCTCACTCACATGACGAAACACAACGCTAACGTTTTACACGTCGATTTTCTGGGAGCCCGTGCTATCACTTCTGTCGAGCCGACCCATTCTTATTGAAGTATTAGCTCTCCCAACTTCTAAAACTTCTAAAAGTTGGGAGAGCTATGCTTCAGCATTTTTAGGTACAGAACCCTAATAATGTGAAATAACGGTATAAGTAAAGTGCATTATCATTACCCACTCATATCAGTGCACTCTCTCCAATAGAGATAAGGAGAAGACTTTATTGATCCTTAAGACTTTCCAATACTTTTGAAGACATTTCCGGGTATTTTTGAACCGTTAATGGACTTATCGATACTTTTGTATTTATTTATTTAATAATTTATGTACACACAAACAGCACACATATATATATAAAAGAAGAGTACAATGGTGCTACTTTTATTTATCGTCTTTAAGTATATTTAAAGAATTCAAATATTCAGTGGTGACTTACTGTTTCGTCCATGGAATCTATAAATCAGAGCTTAGGTCGCCGAAGTCTGTTGGTTCATACATTTTTTTTATTGAAAGCTTGAATTGACACTTGGTTTTTTTCGGCTTAAAACCTTATACACTGATAGAATAGACGTAAAGGTACATTGAAACTTTGTAATAGACTTTTGTTTATAATTTCTTTATTATCATAAAAGCATACAGTCATTATAAAACAGACACGGTCAGTTTACAAGAAACATGATATAAATATGACTATGCAGGCTAACGCACCTATTTTAGGTCTTTAAATTACATTTGTATAATACTCACAGTTTTTTTCTTTACAATGTAGGTAAACAACACTATTACACAAGTCACTTAGTAAATCAACAATAACGCGTCTTTTGAACCAGACACACTTTTTTAGACAATGATTCTTCACAAATATATGTAATTAACAGTTAATTACTAATGCTATTATAAAGCAAAATTGATACCAACGGCATCCGCAAAAAAC